GCGCGTCGTGCCCGTGTCGGTGCCGCGTCCCGGGCGGGGAGACGGGGTGGGAGCGTGCTGCCGACGCCGGCCTGTCCCGCCCGCGCGGGGCGCTGGCGGTGGGACGCGCCTCTGTGAGCGGTCGCTAGCAGGCCGGCCGGAGCTCGGGAGCGCGGGAGAGCGCGTCTCGGATCGGCCTGCCTGGGGGCGCAGTTTCTTTACTCCTGGGTGAAGAAGCGGGCGGCCCGAGGCCTTGGTGAGGTGGTCGGAGGTAGGGGAGGTGAAGTCGCGGTGGCCTGGTGGCACCAGGATGGCTGCACGGCCCTTCGTGGGCCACGCCAGGAAGTGGCGGTGACCGTGGGATTCCGGCCTGCCGGCGTCGAAAGCTAGGTCACCGTCACCCGCTGGCCCAGGCCTGGGGAGGGGTCGGAGTTTCAGCCCACTTTGAGTCGCCGCCGAAGTCCGGAAAACTGCCGGGGCAGCCGTGACCACTGTGACCCACGTGGCAGAGGTGTCACCTGAACTGAGGGGTACATAGCTTGGGTGGCAGCACGCAGGTGAAGATGGAACGCTCATTCAGGTTTCCCTGGTGACAGATGGAACTCGCAAGTTTGGCAGGAGTTGGGGCAGGATCTGCTTTGGCATGCAAAGGTGCTTCAGCTTTTTTGCTTGTCGTAAGTGAAAATAGTGTTCCACAATGAGCTCTACAAAAATTGCCCGGGGATTCTTTAATTTTCTCTCAGTACAACTTAGTATATAAATACTAACTCAGTTTCCGATATATTTCTGATTGTTACAATATGAAAAGGCAATAGACTAAACATTCAATATTTTAGAAAGTTGCAACCGAATACTGGTAGGATAGGTCTTCATTTTTAGGTTTTCACTGAGCACTTCCTTAATGCCTCATCCTTCCAATTGTAGCTAACCAATATGCCTTTGTTGGTTTGGACCATATCCCAGAGAAGAAGAATGGTGTCATATTTTGGTTTCATTGTAAGCACATTCCTATCTCTGTGTAAAATATCTTTTCTTTCTCTCTCTAGTGGACTCTTGGAGGTTGCAGCATCCTGTATTTATCCCAGCCTCCCTTAGGTTTACAGTAATACCTTGATTTTTTTTGATAAATGGCTAAAAAATGTTTTGAAAATTAAAATTAAGATACATTTGCATTAGATACTTTATACAGATCTATAAATTACTTATGGCCCCTCCCAGGTAATTTGTGTGAATGAGTGTGTGTGTGTTTTCCCATTTACTACTGATGCATATGGAAACTCCTTTGGCAGATAAGTTGTTCCTGTTGAGATTTCATCTTGTCCTTAGGAGGATAGTCTAGTGTGTTTCCTTGCATTAATTATGAAAATGCCTCTACACTAAAATCTGTGTGTTCCTTACAGAGCAATTTATAAATTTCTCATTTAAAGAGAGCCTGATACTCTTTTCCTTATAGAACAAAATAAGCAAGCCATGTTGTACTTGGCTTCATTATTGTAATTAGGATGGTGACTGAGTTCATTATTTATTAAAGTAAAATAAATTACCCCAAAATTTAGCAGCTTAAAACAACAGACATTGTTATCCCCCAGATTTGGGGAGGGGTCAGAGCTTGAGGCCCTTGTGAGGTCCCCTTGCCCAGGGTCTCCTGCAGCAGCAGTCCAGTGTTGGGGGATCCACGGCCCCGCTGTCTCAGTTGTGCCTTTAGCAGAGCTTTGATCTTTACAGGCCAGCACCCCACCTCTGTTCTGGACAGCCTACCATTTCTGCCTTTTATCAAATTGATGAAGATACTGAACCAGTGGGAGGACACAGTTTTTTGGAACCTAATTTCTGAAGTGCCACCTGTCTTTTTAATTGTAGTCTGCTTACCAGAATCAAATTTTACATTCAGCCTGCACTCAGGAGGAATGGGGCACACAAGGGCATCAGCCCCAGGTGGCAGAATACTAGGAATCCTCTTGAGCACCGGTAACAGTAAAGGACCCTCATGTGCTTTTTGTGTTGTTGTCTTAGTATCTGATGTGTTCAGGGCTTGATTGTGCAGTTGCTTTGTAATCTTCTTAAGGATAAGAATAGCCAAGCCCATAGTCTTTTCATTCCTGCTAGGCCACTCACTGACTATAGCATAGGGATTGCAGGGAGCCCAACAGTTCTGCCTCATAAACATGCAGGCCTGGCACCCAGCACATGCCCAGAGGCCTAGCAGGCAGGGGCAGGGCAGGGGCAAGGGGATGTAGTGAGCTTGCCAGCCCAAGAATTCCAGAGCAGTCTGGTCAATAGAGCAAGACCCTCAAAAGCCCAAGCCCAAAACACTTGTAAAGAGTTTGTATGGGGCTGGAGAGATGGCTCAGTGGTCTAAAGCACCTACTTGGAACAAGCTTAGCAAAAGCATCAGGGACCGCGGTTCAATCCCCCAGCAC